CTCCATTTTGTTCAGTTAAGATTTGAAAACAAGAGAGGCTGATTGGAGAAGTTGCACATGACAACTAGATTCTCTCTGCTCCAGTTTTGACAAGTTCCCCTTAGTTTTCGCTACTTACATTTTATGCTTTAAAATAACAGTTCCACAGATTGTGCAGTAGCAGAACAAGGAAAACTTTCATTATATCAATCCCGAGAGCCCCCTTCCGGTTTAGATCTGGTTATCTATACCTTATTATAGCGGATGTGTGACCACACACATGACCACTTATTGAAAGTTCTGTAAATGTACCTAACGCGTCACCATAAAACTATTTTTTTTTCCTCCAACTCTAAGTTTATATGGATGAGTTTTTAAGATCAAAATATTGTGTGCTAGCATTTGCCATTTGCCTAATACTTTATGGGTTTGGACAATATAATTTTTGTTTTCATTTACATGCCCAACAGATGGATGTAAAAGCAGGCAGAGCAAACTTAACAGCATAGCTGTTTGAGTTATTAATCTTCAGATATGCTACATTCTGTCACCTCTTGTAGCCAGGTTTGTTCGAAGCCTTTTATTGTAGCATATGTCAACAGAGACGCGCTCCCATCTGCTGCGGATAGTTTGCTGCCTGCAATGCACAGATGAGGGCACAGTACAATACCTAGCTGTGTCAGTAATTACAGGTGTGTTGTGGGGAACCCTCGGCTTTAATCAGCCCCTTAATTATGAAAAAGGTGGGTCTTTTGTTCTCTCTCGCACAGCCCCGGCACACTTTTTATGAGGCCCAGCATCCATCTGCTCACTCTCAGAATGTTTACTTTGACTGATATTGACATAAAAATGTATCAAAGGAAGTGATTAAAACCAGTTTACACATTAACCTGAAAGAAGCATTTAGGCCAGTTTGTTTGTCCAGTGAAAACACAATCTGTCGAGATGTCAAAAATAAGATTGTGCATTTCATCTCTGCAAGGTGTGGGGTTGCAGAATGCAGAATGATACACATTTAGTGGTCATAAAAGCACTGCAGCCCTCCTTTTTTTTTATCTTAGAAAGTAGATAGTGAATGTACATGGATAGCCAGAACTAATGAGATCCCAGCAACGCAACCATCAAATACCACAAGGTGCCATAAGAATGTCTGCAGCAGGAGTTCTGCTGGTGCCCAGCTGTGGTAAACTCCGTTACCTTAATGATCCAAAGGGATGTTCAGTGGTATCCTGTGCTTGTTTTCCTTTAAAAAAATTATATAAAAAAGTATTTGTGCAGCTCAACCTGCAAACAATATTATCATAGTTTGTCATTGGCATTTTGAGACCCACCAACTGAACTACTACAGGTCTGCAGGAATGACCTTTCATATTATTTCAGTGGCATTTAAAAGAGCTCTAAATCCATGAAACAAATTCATATATTTCAGGTTACCAGTGCTTGGATGTAGTGGCTGCATTCATTTTCATTTTCTGCAAGAACAGAATATATCTGTTGATCTTGCCAGAAATGGATTCTCCTTGTCACTCCATGTGAGCTAAACTAAAAGCACAATTTTATCATCCTCCTGCAAACTACTAATCCCCACTTATTCCCCATGAAATGGAGATGAAGAGAGTAAGACCTCTTTCAAGTTGCACCTGTTTAAAGTCCAGCCTGGGTGGCAACCATGGCTCCCTCCATAGACACGGTTGAGTGAGTGAGTGTAGCTAGGACAGAAAGCAGAACTATTGTTTAAAAAAAACCCGTCAGTAATTGAAACTAATGCAGTCCCCTTATCTAAGTACAGGTAAGATACAACATATTAAATATATGTATTTGGGATTTTATTTGTTTGGGTTTGTTTTAAACTTTTATTTAGAATATTCAAATTGAATGTAGGCTGTTAACATCCTGTACTTGGCCAGTGCATAGCTGTTGTTGTCCATTGACTTTTACAGCTTTTCCGCATAGACAGAAACAAGGGATGGTAAGTTTTTTATGCCATAGCAGCTTGTTGGCTCTTGTCTAACACTGGTATATGTGTATATGTATATATATATTGTTGTATTACTACAAGAAACTTTTTTGTGTTGCTGCTTTTAGGTCTTTTTCACACCATAAACAGTGCGTTCAGTCAGCTGCTGGAACACACTGTATCGCATCCTGTGCTTGCAGCATTTTTTCAGATCACACCGGACCGCAGGTACTAATGTGCCATGTGTTCTGGTGCGGGCGATCGCACTGCGGGCGGGGGGCGTGGTGCCATTTACTTTAGTGCACCGCCATGTCCCCTCCCGCCCCTGAAAACAGAAAGACAGCCGGGATGCAATATAGTGTGATCCAGCAGCTGACCGCTCTGGAACACACTGTTTATGGTGTGAACAAGCCCTTAAATTATATTTAATTTATATATGTCTATGCTGCTGTGGCAATTTGTGCAATATTCTCTTAATTATCAAATGTAACTACTAAAACAGAATGAACAGATGTGAGGTTATCTAAGCAGTGTGTTTAAAATGTTACAAATAAGATGTAAAGGTATGGAAACTCATTCATTGGCCGTTTTCACCTTTAAAGTAGTACTAAAGGTTATCTGTTCCTTACCTTATTGCACTCTCTGCATTAAGGTAAAAAATGCCTACTACCTTTTGTGTCTCCCGCCCCCCCCCCCCCCCACACCCCACCCCGCCACCACCTTATCTCC